AATCCGCCTTAGATTTGGGCTGTTAAGTTTTTGGTTTAAGTTACATGCCAAGTAGTCATCCTAAAGCCAAGGCTGATTGTCTGAGGCACAGCCCGAGGCAAGCTGTGCTTTAGCAAAACGCCCTGGCCTAATTGCACAGAAGCTCTCAGGAAGGTGCCAAAACGAAGTCTCCGCAGTGCACGATGCTGTCTGAGCTTCATCACCGTGTTTTCGAACATGTCATCCTGCTGAGGCTTACGTCTTTAATAGTTTCATCTTTCATGGTGCTGAACGTGGTACCACTCCTGATCTCCACGATCTAGGACTGCAGTGAGAAGCACCCCAACGATCAAGTTGATGATGCCAAGCGAAGCAATGGCCATGAACAAGAAAAGCGCTGGAAGGAACAGCCAACCATCTGAAGCATCTATCCTGCGCAGTTGATTTACAAGGCATCCCAGTTGTTTCTTAGCTGCAAACATTGAAAGAGAAGTTTCTGCAGTCCTCCTCCGGACCAGGTCAATACCACTGAACGTAGCAATCTGGGCTAAGGACAGCATGGACAAGACCACACCGTCCCAGTCTTGCGCGAGATCAGGTCTACTTTCCAGGGAGCCCTTTGTAAGCTCGAAAACCAGAATGCCGAAAATGTAGCAAATACAGACCAGCATTCCAGTAGCCCATAAAAGGACTCGCATGGCAGCTACCATGCTACTGAGCAGGAGCCACAGCTGCTGCATTATCTTCAGAAGGCGCAGCAAGCGCAGCAGCCGCAGCAATCGCAACACTCGTAGGATGGCAAAAGCGGAGGTCCCACCCTCGATCTCAATCAAGTAAGTCATCAGAAGGTCAAGCCAAGCCAATACTAAGCACCCAAGGTCAAACTTTGCCCAGGCGTCTGATAACAGTGAGCGTAGGCCCGCACGACAGCGCCGGCTTTTGACATTACGGCGCTCGAAATACCAATGAAGCAAGAACTCGATTGTAAACATCCCCACGCACGCGATTTCGAAGATTTGCGCTTCCATGCTCTCTTCGTCCACAATTCCCTGCGTCGTGAGGCCCATCATTGCACCGTTCGCCAAGATGACACAACCAAAGATGAAATCCATCAGCAAGGTGTTCTGCATTCCCGTCCTCGCACTGCTGAGGGATACAACCATGCTCGTGTTCTCCAGGGGTCATGCTCAGGCAATGCCATGTCAGAACACAGTCACCTCTACAATCCTCCACAGACCCTACCTTGTTCAAGGGAGTACAGCTTCTCTTTGCATTGTTTCCGCACTGGCCTGATTTTCTCCTCCACCACCAGCTGCTCGATTTCTTCTTCGGAAAGCAAGCAGCCAAACCGAGTTTCTTCCTTGCAGGTAACAGTAACACAGTAACAGAGGATGAAGGTGCTGTCTGAGCACTGGTGCTTCAGCAGCTTTGCTCTGCACGTTCTGATAAATAAAAAAAATTGCACAACTCTCAAGAGTTCAGGGCCGCTGCTGATGTGGATCAACATCATAACCCAGTCAAAAATGATTATCGTTGTGAAGCGAGACTCACTCACCCTGCGCGAGGTCGTCAAAGAGTTGATGTCCAAACGCCGCTGCTGCTCTTTAAAGAACCTCGCAGCCTGCACCAAACAAAGCGTGTGCTGAGCCTTTGTTCATTTTGTGGCAGGCTGCTGAACCTCCATGAAAGGATCCAGTTCCACAAGTCTAGCTGCGACGATGCTTCCAAGATAGGCCTCCTCAAGACACAGGCAAAATTCAACAGCAAAGCCACTCCGAGCTAGCGCCTCATCGTTTGAGCACTGTGCACAGCAAACACCCGAGTTCCTCCTCCCGCACTTCGTTGGATTGCATTGTTTGACTTTTGGTGGTCAGGAATGACCTGTGCATCACTGAGGAGCTCCGTCCCCCTCCCAGCTGCGTGGAGCACCAACAATAACAGTGGCCTGATGCAGCCTGATGCATCAATCGCTACTAACAAATGTAGTCTGCAATCAAGACCAGGCACGTTCCAAAAGAGATGGTGTTTCTCAATGTTTGCCTGCTCGTGCAAAGTCGGACTAAATGTAATGATGCATCAGCACTGACACGAACTTTACAATGCCAGCCAAGATGCGTTGTCATTTCTTGCCTCACTTCGTGCGCGCCCGGCGATTTATTGCTCGCGGCGCTAAAGCTTGTCATCTTGGAGACTCGCAGCACAGTAGGCTCGGGCGTGTCTGGAGGAAGCTGATAGCTGATGCTCGAGATACGCTCCGAACCCTGTGCGCTCTTGGCGACATTTTCGGAAATGCGAATCCGCCTTTCCGAGCCTGCGTGAAGGCAGGGATATCCATTTGGCTCAGCAAATCATAGTGTCAGCCGTGAGCCATGTCAGTCTACAGTCTACATGTCATCTAGCAGGAACATGGCAGTTGCATGGCCTGACTGTGCTGCTCCAGGAGATTCTCTCGCAACAGCCGTGGAGGCAGAGGTATCCATGGCGTAGCGCAAATCGTCTCAAGTGCCATTGAGGCAAGAGCAGGGACAATATGGCCGTGACGTCTCTACCAGCGGTCGCCGGCTGTTGAAGCAGGTTTTGGTCGCCAATCCTTATGACGGTTGCAAGTCAGAGCTACTTCAGTGGTGTTACGCAGTACAGCGGGCACGCTTTTAATTTTCATCTTGGTATGGGTTGGAGGCGGTGTAGCTTGGCCAAATTTCTGCATGGCATGACATGGTAGGCATGCAGTAGCTCAAATCCTTGACAAGGGTGAGCACAACGCCACAGCTCAGATGCACTTCTGGTATCCACTTCATGTGACGAGTTCTAACAAAGCCAGTCAACCGCAAAGCAACGCATGATCGCGATCCTTGAGCTACGCTCTCTCAACACGCATGCTTTTCGGGGCAACAATGGATGGCGCAGCTGCACATCGAAGCTCGAAGCTCTTCAGCTGCTGCAGAAATGTGGCCTTGCGCACTTTTTCCAACACTGTCGCGTATGTGAGAGAACATGAGAGAACTGTGAGCAAGAATCAGCTCCAGGCATTTGGTCTGCAGGCCCCCGATGTGCGTTCATCTTGCAGATGCTTCACTGCAGAACTGGCGGAGTGCAAACATGAGCACAGCTACAAGCTGCCAATACATTGACAAAGCTGACCATCAAGGTACTCAGCTCCGATACGTAGCTCCCAGGCCTCAAAGTCAGCTGCTCGAACCTCGAATCAAACGAAGGCAATATGTGACAACGGCATCTGTCCAGCAAGTAGGGTATGCAGTATGCATGCACCCCTGCCTCATCAAGTATGCCAGAACAACTGAAGCTGACCTTCCACCAGCAAATGTCAGCAAGCGTTTGCAACATCCCATGAACTGTGCCCCTTCTGACACTCAGTGAAGCCTGGCCAATGCAAACTGATGTGGCTCAGGTTTTTTGCAAGCACCGAGGCCTGGAAACACCTTCTCGACAGTGCACCAGCACACGGCAGTCATGACCTCACCAGGACATGTTGAGTTTCAGAGGCATGTTCAATCATGACATTCTGGGCCTCTGGTGCTCGCACCTGCTGAAGTACGAGCATCATGGATGAAGGCCAGCCTAGACGACGGAAGACGAAGACCAAGGGTTCGACTGCATTTTCTGGCATGAAGCACAGGCAAGCTGGTCAAGCTGCGCAAGTCAAACTAGCGAAGGCAAGGGCGCGGAATCCAAGACCTCGAGAAGGTTCTCGGATCGATCATCCTCATTCTGCAGGAGAATGCGTAGGTGGATACCATGGGGCAAAGGATATTCAACACACGTTGCCTCGATCGGGACTTGGTGATAAATGAACTGATCTTCGAAGGCGTTTGGAGCCTGGCACTCGCAAAGGTATGAGGCACTTTGCGCACGCATGCCTTAGAAGCCTTAAACAGTCAGGTCACGGCACCATCTGTGCCAGCATGCGCTTCTAGGTTTGAGCTGTTGAGTCGTATTGCGCTGCATTCGCAGGTCTTGCCTTTGTGACATTGACGATGTGAGTGATCCCAAGCTGCCTGATTTAAATACATGAGAACGCAAGCTGAGTTGATATGGAAGGATGACAGGTGTCACAGAAATTGCTGCAAGTCTGTAGACCAGCCTGAGCAGCAGTAGGCTGGTGGCGAAATGAGCGCCGCCTTGACACGAGACAGCTGATCTGCAGCGTTGGGTCCAGACTACATGTTGTTCCCCGCTGCTACAAGTCACTGCCCAGCGGCTAATGTAGAGTCGGAAAGACTCCGTGGAGAACACCTGTGGAATACCGTGTTGCCGCAGCTTGGGCGTGGAAGACATGCAGCACATCTTTGATGTGAATTTTCACCTTGTCCGCATTTGGAAATGGCCGTGAGATGGTCCGCCGAAGCTGAGGAAATGCTGGCATTGGCTCTTCTTCAGTCTGGCAATCCATAGTCCAGCGTGACCTTAGCAGTGATGGCCTTGCAACTCACGGGAAGGGATAGCAGCGTCTCTCAGCCTCCCACCAGCCACCGCCTTCTGTGACAAAGAACCTCTTGAATATCCAGCATGTTATGCCACCACACATGCCACCCCGTCTCAGAGAATGACAGATTCAAGAACTGCATGATGCGCCGGGGAACCATGCACTTGGGGTGATAGCACTGGACCTGTCCGAGAGGTGTAAATGGAAGTTTGCGGTTTTGTATCACCACTCGACAGTGAAAGGCAAATCCATGGGGCCCGCGCTGTCACCAAGCACCTCTCGACAGTTTGACAGGCCGCCAGATGCTATTCTTGTGCGTTCTTGTCTTCTTGCACTCATCTTGCCTGCGCAAGTCCGCCTTCTCCAGCCTTCACAAAGACCGAGGGATGCAGAATCATTCTCAGCAACTGCTGGCGGCCTGCACCGCGCCATGCAGAATGACCCGCTGCCTCCAGGACCTAGGTCAAGCTTTGCATGCCCTTGAGACCACTTGTCACCAGCAGGGGCGCGCCAAAAAAAGCTGCCAGAGCCGCAGCTGCGACTGCAGGACATCTATTGTCTCCACGGCTGCAATGTATCAGCACCTGGCGATCAAGCCCAAGATCGGGGTTGGCAACAATACAGTGAAGGTGACATGTACGCGTGGCTCTTGTCCTCTGCCAATCCCGTGGCTAAACCTCAACAAAATGTGCTCCCATTGCACGGCAGTCGTCGTGAGAAAGACCCGCAAAGACTCCTCTCAGATTTGTGCCCTTGCTTGCTTGCATCATCTCAACATAAGCCCTCTTCCAAGACAGCACCCAATCACAGTCGCACAGGAGGCTGGAAAAGTGCGCTGAACCGTGGCAAGGCCCTAGCGGCCCGCAAAAGAGGTCATTCGCTTGCGATTTCATGTGCCACCACACAGCCCAGCTTAGCTTGCATCGCAAGCGAACACACAATGCCAAACGTCCAGTTCAAACTCTGACCTAAGGCATATGCCGAGACCTTGTCCCTGTACATACTCCCATGTAGACGCAGGGCAGACCCAGTCAACCAAAACGAATGCAAAGCGTCCCAAGGCAGCCCAAGAATAATCAAGTCACATTACCATATGCTGCGACACTGCTCCAGAACAGCATTACTGCGCGGACACAGGACACTCACGAAGAACAATCATCACGAAGTATCTGCTCCAGGCTGCCTCTCGCCTAATCAGCAAATGTAGTTTATGCAGCTCCAACTCCCGTACCGGATCCCATGCGAACGGTGCACGCCTTGCAGCGCAGCTGAACTGATTGCGCATCTCCAGGAAGTGTTATAACAAGTGAGACTGCCGATGCCCGTTCAAACCCAGGCGACCCCGAACTACCTTTTCTTTCCAAGGGCTACACGCATAATCGGTACCACTGCAGCGCGTTCCGTTACCAGCAGTAGATCTGTGGCTGAAGGATCGGAAGTTGCTGCGCCACGACGATTGCACAAATGGGGAGGGCTATCTTCGCATCAGAATGGATCTGGCAATGCCGCGTAAGCGGTGGTTTGGAACTTGCGGCATCAAATGGATCTCACCAGAAATGCGCGTCACAAGCGTTTTGCAGCATCCCACACATGAAGCAGAATAATGCTAAGACCAGCTGGCTCCGAATGCAGCCGATTGATATACTATACACGTCTTACCAGAACTTCATGGTGACTGATACCATGGGCTCACGTGCACGACATTTCGACCCCTGCCCTTGGGCCGCAGCAACGCTAATGCATGCTACTAGTAGTACGTAGGAGTGGAGCCTTGTGCGAGTTCTGCAGGCTCCTGTTGTAGCAAGAGATCTGGAGCTTGTTACACTGGGCTAGCAGGCGGCGCATCCAGCCTCATGATGAAGCGAAGTGCACGAGGTAGCAGCACCTCTTGCCACCAGTTCTTCGTGGGATCGTGCCTTGGATTTGCAGGTTCGCGGCTGGGTTCTCTGATTTCTGGTACCAGGCTACAAACTTCTTCTCATCGGCTGCTGGCAAGTGCAGGTAGCGCGGATCACCTCTGCCACGCTTTGCTGGCGATGTCACCACGAGCCCTTGCGAATCTAAAACTCCACTGCCATTGCCTTTCATTCCGGGATGCTCCTCACCTGACGCGACACTCACAAAACACGTGCGGAACAAAGTGCTGTGCTTGCTACAACCTCCGCAGTTGAGGACAGCATCCACCAAATCCTTGGAGAAGACACATCAAAGAACTGCTGACATTCAGTGGGGCCATATCTTGGAAGCATTTGGAAACCACTTCCAAGCTGCTTGCCCATACGGCCGGAGGAGCTGCCGAAGCGAAGTCGCTGACCACAATTCCCGTGTTGCCAATGAAGGACAAGGCCTGTGGTCTCAAAAATAAGCAGACTTCTCGAGCTTCGAGGTAACGGGCCTCGCACCAGCTCATCCACAGGCACCTTGTACACTAACACTGCCATCACGATGTGACGCAAACCTTGAAGCGACGCTTACCTCGATGGGTTTGGCCTCCGCATCCTTGCAAAGTCAACTTCTTGAGGTTCCGGCGGCTTCAACAATGCCCAGTTCGCAGAACATTACTGCTCGTCCTTCGGGTCGTCTAGCGCCAGCGCCACCGGATCCACCTGTGAGACGGATGCCGTCTCTGAACCCATCAGATGGGATGTCTGAGGAGGCAGTCCTCCTCGGGTCTGCTGCGTGCCACTTCAAGGAGCACCTCAGCCTCAGAGCAAAAAGAAGCAAACTTTTCATGTCCAGCAAATAAATTAATCTCTCGTCCGTTCAGCTGCCGGCGTGGCGCCAGAATTTCTGTGGAGTGAGGCGAAGCTGTTGGGCCCAAGCCTTTAAGGGATCACAGGACCCCAACGTCTGTGCCTTGGCCTCTTCGCCTCCTCATCATCGCCAGCTCCCTGAAGCATCACTTGCTTGGGAGGGCCAACTGGAGAGAGCAACGGCATCACCAGCCTGAATGTAACTTCTGCTCCCCGACACGGCCTCATGATCTCTCGAACATTGCCAAACTGCGGCCCCCCTCACACCCAGAAGATGCCTTCGAAGCTGAAACGCACAAGATGATGATGTGATTACTTCGCAGGGCTTCGAGCTCCTGAGTCTGTTGCATCTGATGCAAGTTACGCGCACGACATCTAAGCCAGCTGCCTTCCGGCGCTCGTCCAAGTCCTCATAAGGCATTGTCATCTGACCCATGTCAATCTGCAGGTGTAGATCAGGTTCTGACATCTGTTGGACAAATCCAAAGTGGCCGGAGTTGTTTCTCTTTCCTACGCCGCGGAGAGGATCAAGCAATCAGAGCAGGAAAGGTTCCGTCCGTGCTGCTGCCAGAGTTTACAGGCAGGTGAGTTAAGTGCAACTGTGCTACATTTCAATGCTAGGACCCTCGCAACGCAGCTGCCAGCTCGGCAGCTTCCGATTCCGGCAACGCTTTTCGAAGCCTTTGACTTCGAGTGTTTGCAATGCTCGAGGGCTCGTAGCAAGATGCTTGGAAACCCAACTTATTGACCCACTCCGGCAGCAGCTGCTTGATCTCAGCCCGCTCGGCCTGCGCCTCGGAGACGTGAAAACAATAACTCTCTGGATTGTCTCATATGTTTTAATGCCTTGGGCTCCTGCAGTGTGCAGATACAGAAAGCGATCGGTGAAATCCTCAGCAGTTTTGCCTGGCGCCTCCCAGCACAGCAGCTCTGCAGTCTGCTAGGCTTAGCTTAGCTGGCTTAGCTCTTCCGAGCCGGCCTGCAGAATTGCTGCCAGCGTTTGCAGAACGGCGCTCCAGATCGGCACTGTTTTGGACAGTGAGTCTGGAAACGTTTTCCTGCAAGGGTGAATAGTATGCAGCCCCTGCAAAGCAGCAATGCAGCCTGCGATTTCCGGTGCAGTCGACGAGGATCACTCCTTCGCTCCCTGACAACGAATCACAGAAAGCACCAGTCATGTGAAAAACGAATGCCATGCAAGCAGCCGAGCAAGGCGAATGCGCCTGCTGCCATATGTGCCACGTGCAAGTTTAACCGCGCGAGACTGAAGTCCCACTGATTCCTCCCAGACTGCTGGGCAGCAAGATGTGGCGGCATGAGACTGTGCAACTTTTGACTATCACCCATGCAGGCTAAAGTAAAGTTCCCATCACGACCAGTTGAAGACAAGGGGACAAGCAAAATCATGCTCTTGCAGGGCTTCAAAAGCTCACCAGCAATTGCACTGTAGGCAGCCTGACAGCAACACTGCGGAGGCGCCACATGCTTCTCTGTGATGTAAAACGATGTCAGCAACTGCCAGCAGCACTGGAAAAAGGTTGCAGCGACACCTGCTATCTTGTCCGCTAAGCAAGTCTCAGAGGCACGTAAACGGGAAGCATGCTAAGGCATGACGTCTGCCAATTAACCTGGCAAGTTTCTTGGAAGCCTCCATGACCCTACCCTTCTTTGATTACAACAGCCTAGCTGGGATATGTTTCCTGCAGACCCATGTTCCCATGTTCCCAGGCAGGCATCTCAAGCCGGGAAAAGGGTCTAAAAGATCATCGACCAGGACTGCTGTAGGGAGTCCCACATCAGAAGGTCCCAACACAAGCCCAACCAAGCCTGAGAACAAGCCTTTTTCCGCCCTGTCCTGTGGCCATCCATTGACTTGAAGTAGCAGGTGGCATCGACGGAGTCTGTGGGCACATACCATGCCTCACGTCCAACACAGGTCTAAGTCGCAAGTTGGTGGCAGGTTGCTAGGCGAAAAGGACCCCGGCGCCAGCGCGCAAGTTCGTCAGAAGAGGCCAGTCATCAAGGTGTAGGCTGGCTCGCCTGTACAACTTACAAGGCTGGACTGACATGCTGACGGGCGACCCCTAACATGCTAAGACAATCTGAGTATATGTTTGAGGCCGCGACGAGTGTGAAACAAAGCAGGCATCCTCGCTGATGCTCAACAAGTAATTAGCCTCAGCTCTGTTTCCTACACCTACAGCAGCACACAGGCCCAGTCAAACTGCGTCACAAGAGGATTGAAGGGTGAACTCTGTTGCTTCTAGAATCTTCTGGCATACCACAATACAAAAAGAGCTGGCAAAACTCAATTACGCAATGCAAGTGGTTGCCAATCACCCTCCCACTTCCCCCTCTACTGTCCAGCATCAGTTGGGCAAAGCCTCTCCTGAGGCCAGGGCTGTCGCCTTTCGGGCAATATTCCTGGCTTCCCGGTTGCTGACCTGTCTATCTTCATCAAGTTCGCCAACTTGGGGGGGCCTGATCCACCTTGCCTGCTCAGAGGGAGGACTTCCGTTGTATCCTGAAGGCAGCTGCTAGCTGTTGGCAAGATCCATGGGGTTTGCAGGACTTGTACGCAGCAGTGACATCTGCAGCAACTTCATGCAATAAGTAAGAAAGCTTCTGCAAACCAGACTGGGGGTCACACCATCAGCAAGACCACCAGTTGCCAAGCCATGGATGCCGGGCTGTGGGGCATTTGTCATGCCTGGCGGCACAAGCGCCGTCAAAATTAACAGCAAGATAATGCTACTTGTATCGTACTGTCACCTGCAGGCTAGTCTGCTCCACGGCGTCAATATGTCTCACACCCGCGCGAGACACTTTTTCATCACACGATAAATTCTGCGACGGTCTGCCGGAAACTGCACTGGTAGCACATACAAGAAAAGTTTTTTGAAAGAACCAGATGCTTCAGCTGATCGACGACCTGGATCATATGCAGCGCTTCTTACGTCAAAGTGCTCTGAGCAGCTTGTATAATGAATGAGAACTGAACCAGTCGGCATCTTGAAACTGACATCAAATTCTGAATCAATGTAGCCAGACGACTTCTGGCTCTGCTGATGCCAGATCTGTAGTTTCAAATGGGTCGCGGGACAAGTCGTAGAGGTGCATGTTGTCAGCAGGGCTTGGCCTAAGCACAGCAACAATCAACAGACAGTCTACCCAGGGTGCCCCCACTTTGAAGCCTCAGCCAAGAAGCTGCCAAGTCTGCGCGTCACTGCAATGCGGAACAACGCCTTTCCAGAAAGCTTGTCGTATTGAATAGCCGGGGCCTCCTTTTCCATCAGGACCATCGCCAATCCATGTGAAGTACAGGTAGTCATGCTCCTGGAGTTCGAGACTTGGCGCTATCCAACTGCAAACTCCATGTCTTTCTACCTACGTTCTCACAGAAAGTGTGGGATGCTCCTTTTGAGGCAATCCTTTCAGCTCCGGCAGAATGCTGATACCGTCCAGGCCACCCGGAATGCTTACACCAGCTATCTCTGCGATTGTGGGCAGTACGTCCCAAAATGCCCACGCAAAATCTGAAATGCGACCAGGAGCAATGCCTGCGACTGAAGGCGAATTACCGCATCATGCGCGAGTGGATCCCACATGCTGCTAGCCCAAACCTCCTGCAATGGCAAAATCATGCAGTCATCCTTGTTTTGCTCAGACACGCTCTGGCCAGCGGACCATGGTCGGGGAGCGCACACCACCCTCGAACATGCTCCTGTCACACTCCAACGCCCTCTGAGTTTTTTGGGATTCTTGGAGACGCGCACCTCTTGTAGCCTCGAAGACCACCTGTAGAGTTAAAGAATTGATGGTCATGACCTCCTTCTGAGTGTGCACCGTTGTCAGAAGCAAAGAACACCTTGCAAAGCTGACGGCATCTCTTAGAAGAGCGAACCCCTGCAACAGGGGCACGCGAGCAATACGCAGCCATCTGTTTAGACTTTAGACAGCAGCCCAAGGCGCCAAGGTGTTCCGGTCAATATTCAGAGATTTCAACCGCGAAAGGAGATCTCCAACCTTGCTGTCGAGATAAGTAATCACTGCAGCATGGTCCTTCCACGTACGACAAAGTCAAGGGCATTCAGTCCGCACCCTTCTATACCCTTCTGCACCCATCACACCGTCCTTCTCTACATCTGGCCACTTTTTGGAGGCATACCTCAACTTGCACAAAAGTTTAAGTGAAGGCAGCTTTGCAGCCGAAACTGAGTGGCTAAGTGGCTGCAGATCGCAGGGCACAGGATTTCCCGACTCCGGAGACTTCGGAGCATCGCCCCAACCCCCTGCATGTGGTATGGTGTAGCTCCTTGGCAGAAGATGTCGTCCCACGCTCGGCACTGCATGCACTGCGTTCACCACAACATGTTTCCTCCACCCAGCTGCATGTACAGAAAGAAAGGTCCGGAGTCAGCAACAGCTTCGAGCCAAGCCATGCCATGATCATGGAAAACATCAATGGTGTAGTTGTACATCTCCTTGGCTGGATACGAGCTGTCAAGAATGATCGGGGTAGGTTCTCTCAATGCAGGCAGGTTTCTAGTCTCTCATAGCCAAGTTGCGGGCCTGTGCATGCACAGCTCCCGTGACTTTGAACCAAGGTTTCCAGATAGCCTCAGGAGAACAGTGTCCCAATGAAGCTTACTTCAGGCGCCTTTGCTCTGTATTTGCAACTCAGGCGCTCGAAGTTCAGCTGCTCCAGTCCCGAATCAATGTGCGCTGGATACATGTTGTGGCAGAGAGCCTCTGAGATGTAATTCCACGGCTAACGGAATTTTAGGTCAAAGGGTGTTTTAGGTGGTGCCCAACCTGGTCTACTTGTCCAAGGAAGGTGTCGAATCCCTGCTCCAATGGGGACGTCAAGGGCGCAACCTTGCCAAAGGCCCCCGTTCTGTAACCAACCTGAGCAGGACAAGCTGGAGCAGCTGGAGGTCAAGCCAAAACTGGCTTGAGAATCTCGACTTCAAAACATTATCTGAATGCGAATGCTACTCGTAGGCAACTAGCTCTATTTGGCCCAGCCTGTTTCAACACTTGCGGTAACACAGTCTGCCCCTGACTCGGACTCAGAGATTCACCGTTGAGGCCCCACTTGTGAAAGTTACCGCTGTGCCGGCCAGTGAAGAAAGCAGTTCTGCTCGGAGCACACACAGTGTAGCCAGCATACGCCTGTCGAAAGATGACTCCTTCCCGGCCAAATTGGTCCAAGTGTGGCGTAGCAATTCGGCCGTGAGATGAATTTGCTGGATAAAGGCCAACCTCACCCCAACCCAGGTCATCGGCCATTATCCACACAACATTTGGCCGTTGAGAATTACAGACCCGCAGCAGTGCCAAAAGCACAAGCCGCATGGCCGCGAGCGCCACGAGAGATAACAACTCGTCAGCAATTCTCGACTACCCCAACTTTCTGAGGCTGAAACTGTTGGCCGGCGTTCACGAACGAATGCTTTGCCCAACCCTACAGTCCTGCCGAATCTTGCAAAAGAACTCAAGCCCATCTGTCAGGGGCTAAGAAGTAATGGATTTAACAAAATGAAATGTGTGGGACACGGCAGCCTTCAGGCCAGCGCACGGGCAGTGCAAGCCCGCGGCTGGCTTGCTGGGCAGCAGTTGGAGGCACGAAGCACAGATTACCGCAAGTCTAATCCATGGTTGAACCGTGTTGCACCATTGCTGCACTAGCTGCCAGCTGTTTCTACGATTGCAAATTTTGCCAGTGCAAGGCAAGACAGGCACGAATCTCCATCATGATCCTGCGGCGCGGACAACGTCACGTCTATCCAAGAGGAGATGAACGCTGATCAGAGATGATGGCTGCATGGCGGATCTACCTGTAAGAAAGCTTTTGCTTAAAGAGAAATGGTGCCTGGGCTTCACATCGCTGCCTTTGGCAGGCGACTGGAATTCTGGTGGGCAAGCGTGAAATGGGCTGCTTCCTTCGCCGAAGAAAGCCCAAAACCAAATCAAGAGGCAGCAGCTGTTGCGAGACCTGTGGTAGGTTTCCAACACACCTCAATCGAGCTAAGAAACGTCGAGAGGGATGTCCTCTCATGCAAGCACTGGTTGCTCGGACAATCTGACTGAGAAACCCGGCAATGAGGCTCGAATCTTGCGGCAGTTGGATCAAGAAGAACGAAACAGGTCTTACAATCCAGGATCAAGTCCTAAACTATGTCGGCTGTCCCTCAGGTCAGAGTCGCACTTTTAGGAGAGTAAACAATGATTTCAAAACCTGAAAATTGCTGGCACTTTGTGCGCAATTCATCTTCTGACCGCCTCTACATCTTGTCAGAGGCACGTCTCGTTAGCGTCATTTCAAAAGCACGCACTGCTTTTCTGCAGTCTGAATTTTCTACGCAAGCAGCGCCTGCAAAGGGTTCTTGCAAGTGCTCAGCAGCAGTTGATGTAGCTCAGCACAGTTCGCCTGAACACTCTCGCGTGCAAGTCGCAAAGCACACATGTCATAGCAGCCTTAGACCGAACTCCTGCTACAGTAAGCACGGGGCATTCCCCCCGCCGCGAAATCGCAGCAAGTTGCTCGAGACACCTTCACAAAAATGTCAGTTGACGCTGCCCGCAAAGCCAACTCTGCGTCATGTGAACAGAGACTTCACACTGATGTGCAACAGTTCTGTTCGCATGAAGCCACACCCGCGAGCGCACGATACATTCTTGTCAGCTTGTTGACTCTGAAGCCCACACTTCTCCATCTGTGGAAGTCTCGAACACGTCATGAAACAGCTCTGCAGTCATCTGCCTTTCTGCAAAACAGGCCAGTCGATGCAATTTTAGCATTTGAACGCACAGCATGAGAGTGCCAACCAGTATGTCAGTATGCCTTCCGCCACAGTAGATGTTCATTAGGTGAATTGCACTTGGCCTGTCAAGCGCAGTACTCCAGCAAGACAGTCGCACTTGACATGAAGACTGTCGGAAATTACTACTGCGGGCCAGAGAGGGGTCTCGAAGCTGCAGATGTCTTGGGAGCTGGCCACTTCGCATTCAAAGGTGGGTTGACGCTCCTGCAGCATCTAAAGCCACAGACCAGCAGGGCAGCGGCAAGTTGCTTGCCTGGCAGCACGTTGTATGAATGCCCAGTCTGACTTGCCGATGCGACCTTGACACGCAATACTTGCCGCAATACTCCACAGCTTCACTGGAAACAATTGACATAGTCCACTCAAGGACTGGCATTGGGCTTGGGCCGTCAAGCATCAGCGCCAGCAGCAGCATTGAGCAAGCAAAAAGTGCGTCTCGGTGGCTCAATCCTGCATACGGGGGCTCCGACGACCTGACCTGAAAACTGTTGCTGCTGCCTGCGAGGCCATCAAAGAATAAGTCTTCGTCATCCAGACCTTGCAGAAAATCTCGTAGGCAGCGGTAAACTGTCATCATCAATATCACTTGTCAACAGATCAGCACTTGAGCACGTGCGGAGCAAAGCTCCGAATGCTGGCCACGCTGCCGAGGTCTGCCAGCTCCTCATAAAGAGACTCCTGAGGCCTCATCGCTTCTTTCACAACAAAGCTGAAGGACATTTCTGCGTGCGGCTGTGCAGTGAGCCCGCCTCTGCGCGCGCAGAAGTGTATATCTAGAGAACAATTTCTTAAAGGCATTGTCCGTTGCTGTCCAAGGAGCTTTTCCTGAGGCCGCTTTGCACCTCTGCTCCCATGGACTATAACCCCGCAAGTTGCGAGAGCACTGCTGGCACGCTCTGTATACTGCCTACAAGCGGCAGAACCAGTGACTGCATCCCACACCGCCTCGACTCATAACTCATCTACGAATCTACGAGCCAAGCGGAAGTGACATGACATGCCAAGCCTGAACTTTTGACGCTTTCTGCGCCTGCACTGGCCTCTAGCAAGATGCACTCAACAACAACAGAAGGAAACCGCACTCAACCGCCTTGCTTGGGATGGTGAGGAATGACTTTGTGGACTTGCGCTTCAGTTTAGCCTGGCCAGGAAAGCAGAATCAGTGTACCGCGGGCACCTGCTTCGGCAGCTGCACCGCATCCAATCTCTGGCCATATTCTGCCTTCGCCTAAAGCGACCAAGGTCGAGGGCCTGTGCTGTTGCTTCAAAACTGAGCCCAAAACCCGGGTGACAAAGCCATCATCTATGAAAAGGCTGACGGTGTGGTTCAGCCTCAAAAGTTTGTTGCTGAATTTCAGCTATGCCTGCTGGGGCACAAGCGATCACCGTCCTTCCATGCGGCCATGTTGCAAACACCGACTATTGGGATGCATCTGCATCTTGTAGGTGATGGAGACACCTGGAAACTTGGCAGAAAGAAAAGGACTTGAGTCATAAAACAACAGGGATTACCCCCATGACTATGTATTGTTCTAGTGTTATCATTTTTCATTACTCAGCTCAGTCAGTCCAGGCCTACTGCCCTCAGAGCCAAGCACTTCAGCTCGTCAGACCTTGTGACAGCTGTTGAGCGGGGCTTTTTCAGAAGGCCAGCAGGCCCTAAAGTTGGGCGGGAGGGGGGGCTTTAGGGGTTTAGGGTTTAGGGACCCAGAGGTAGCCTGAAGTTGGGAGACCTTTCTTGTTGATGTCTCATCTCCTGCTCACCAGAAGCCGGGTCATCGTCGAAAGCAATCAATGTGACCGAGCGCGGGGCAACGGCTCCTCCACATCATGACCTTGGAAAGAGAAATACAGTCCATCGAGCATCCTGAATGTCTGCAGACAGAAGCCATGCGTTTTGTTGCACCAGCTCCTGAAGAACTGAGCTGCCAACTCTGACGATGCTTTTTGATAAGCTGGCTGGTCACCTGTGAATGGATGAAAATGTGCTGCGCACCCGCAGCGTGCGTTGACCAGCCTCCACTGTTGCGGATGGACCAAGAGTGCATACCATCACCTCATTCATGGCGTACCTAGCACTGCAACTCGCACGCTCTTGCGCAGGGTCAGTTTGTACTGGATCTGATCGCCTGTCCAACTTCGATAAAAGGTGTGAAGACACTGCTTGGCTTAGACAGCATGTTCCAACCAAGTAACTTGCCGATTCGCTTGCAAATCATGCCAGACATCGTTGAAAGCCAAGAGATTCTGTCCAAAAGATCTACTGGGTTTGGAGATATATGGTGATGAATCCCACAGATTCTGCAGCAGGCTGGATGGTGCCTACAACCATTCAATGTTATGAAAGCAAGCATTCTGCCCGCCTGACAGTCACAGAATTGAACATCACCTTGGTTGAGCAGTAAGATGGCCGGCAATCTGCATTGACAGTACAACTTAGCCTGTTGGGTACGGAGGCCTCCACTGGCAATATGTTTGTTCATGCTGGGTGGTAGGAATTCCGAGACGTGCCATGAGACCAGGCAGACTTCCGCCTGTCGCCGGGGTGGAGAATGTTGCCTTCAACATTTCTCACGTCCGTTTGCACGCGAGTTGTGACAGACGAAGAAGCCATCATCATGAATCGTAATGATGACGACGATGATAATAATGACAGCTTTATGGGTCCGACGAAGGAATGTACCAGCAACAAGAACCCGAGGAAGGTGTTAGTGTTGCCCATGAAGATACAACGGCAGCAACAAGAACAAGCTCCCTGCTGGGCGGCAGTGTCGACACATAATGCATGGTCGGTCAGCCAGTCAGGCAGTAAGTCAGTCAGTCATGCGCGTGTGGACAGGCAAAAGTTGGCTCGCCACACCGCGCCAAACGACCGGATTCTGTACCAGTCTGGTGGTGGTATCCTAGTGTCTGCCAAGATGCTGAAAAGCTTCTGGCTCCAATTTCGGCAATTCATTCACGTTTCGAACCACTAACCCTTCTGGCACAAGCAATGGCGGCTAGTTGAAAGCCTACCAGATAGGGTGAGGGATCAAAAAATAGATAGGGGTTGAAAAATATCAGGTTCCGGATCAAACAAACATAAAGAAATCGGGATCAGCAGACATTGAGGATTTGGGTGCCTGAATACTGCAACCCGCACGATTCGGAGGATCAACAAAATGTACACAAGGATCCAAAAATACCTCATGAAAACACAGCAAGATGATGGAAAGTCGTGAAACGTTATGAAGACTATGAAAATGATAAAGAAATATTGACAACTATGAACAATAATGAATAACGAAAAGGGATGAAACATGATAAAAAGCATGAAAAATGATGAAGCATGATGCTGAATAACCCTAAAAATACTGAAAAGTGATGAAAAACTCTGAGGAGTGATGAGAAATAATGAAACGCAATGAAATACAAGGAGAAAATATGAAAAGTGATGATGAGGAATGAAGAAAACTATGAACTCCACAATTATGATGAACATATTAAAAACCATGAGATGAGATAAAAGTCATGGAAATCATCAAAACCATGAAAATTGATTTTAAAGATTGTGACGAGTTGTGAAATTTGATGAACATAATGAAACATGATGGAAATTGCGACAATGACGAAAAATGATTGAGTCATGAACATTCATGAAATATGATGAAACAGGACGAAATGTGAAGAATTGAGAAATCTGACAAAATACGATGCGGGGGATTGGGGGGCGCAGCCCCACCCCCATTTGCAAAACCTGCACAAAGATCAGAACAGCTTAGTGGTTTCTCTGGCAGTCTTGTGCTGATGTGTTGATTGCGCACTCGAAGAATGCAATTGCCACCGAGATGGACGTAAGCGCATCAGGCTCGCCCTCACCACCGCCATGGGCACCGCCACCACCACCAGCACCACTCAAGGTATGCATGTTGTTTCGACTCTGCCGTGCTTCATGGTCCAATGGTCCAACATCTGGCATGCGATCTCTGCAAACTTTGGGCTTTCCCTACGAGTATCCAAGAGCAGGTGCTAAAGCAAAAAAGTTAAATGATACCTTGCCTATTTTGGGCCATGGCACCACCCAACCCACCATCTAACATACTTATCTTAGGAGAACTATCTTATTCCCAATCTGACATATCTATCCTAGGGAATAATACTTACTTCTATCTAGGTGCCATAGCTCAAACCAGGCAAGGGGGTCTAATAGAATTTGGTTCAGAGTTTGGGGTTAAGGGTTGCGAATACAGTGTAATTATAATATATAACTGCTTATGCACTACAATTACATCATATTATCACTGCATAAGGAATATTAGCTTGTTTGTTCTGGTTTGTCATCAACAGGTATCTCAATAATTACTCTGTCCTTGTGCTTTCCAATTAGCATAAAGTAGTTTTCCAGAAACAGATCATTCATCAACAACTGGTGAATGTGATCAAAAACTTCTTGAATTTGAGACTTCTTATCCTCAATCTTAGTTGTCTTGTATTCCGTTCTCTTCTCTGTGCATTTGATGCAACTGCGCCAAGGTTGCCCCGATCTATTGAACCGAACTCTTCTGCAGGTTTGTTGCTGTGGCATCTTGTGGATTTGACTGTCTCCATCTCACTAATATAGGTGACACTATCTCTTTAAACTGCTTTTATCTGAACATTCAGAACAAGCCAGACTGTATTTGACATAGTAATAAGAATGCTTACTAGTGCAATAGCAACGCTTGAAAGAATCTATGTTCACCTATCCGAACCCACCAGAATTTGCCACTTCTGGGTGGTAGCGACCTGTTTCTGTTGCCGTCACCCATGGCTGCAACTCCACTGAACAAGATACTTCAAAGGGGCAGGCTGATGTTCTATTGGGCATGGGGGGTTGTGTGGTGGTAGCGGATGCAACACCTAAACGTGCCAATCTTTGGCGTTCCAACTGTCGCCCAAAAGCCTGCTGCCAGAACTTCTTTCTCTCCACCGCCCTCTGCACGAAGCACCCTTAACACCAAACCCTGAACCAAATTCTACAAGACCCCCCTTGCCTGGTTTGAGCTATGGCACCTAGCTAGAAGTAAGTATTATTCCCTAGGATAGATATGTCAGATTGGGAACAAGATCGCAGTCTGCTAAGTCTACGAGTCTGCGACACAACTCCCACTGAAGAACTCTCGCACATGCCATAAGAACGCTACATCCTCGACACGGCCATACCTGTTGGAATGCTGTAAGAGTGGCATTGATGAGAATCTCAATCACCAGCGGTGCAAGCCTCTGCAGGCTGGCATGTATGGATGAGCCCACGGCTGGTCTTATGTCTTATCAGTTACATACTATGCGCTTTCGCCTACTCACATGCTCTAAGACACTTCAAAATAATTCCATCTAGAATAATGACATGGACATGCACCATGGATCTAAGCCTTATCAGCAGGCTTCTGCAGTGCTACTGAGTCAATGGCTCAGCAAACTTCAGCAACGTGCGCGGGGCTACCTGCAGCAAGACTTTGGACCAGTTGCATGCGTTGAAGTGTAGCATGCTTGCGGCATGGGTGCCCGCACTGCCACAACAGATTTCAACTACCTAGACTCAACCCCACAGTTCACCTTCTTCACAATCAGCTTGATGATGAACTTGGTGACACCGCGGCTGCCCATGTAAATCCTGGACAGGGATGTCTTGGCACGACTTTGTTTGAAGCTTACAAGACGTCTTGGCAGATTCTTGAAGCCCCTGAGGCAGCAACAAGGCATACAGGAGAAGCAGGAATTTGCTGGCCTTGAATCTCCGCATGCGTAACAATGAAGCCAAATGAGCCGTCAAAAACATGGATACATAGATTTGACGGAAAAAGGAAGCTTCCGCCCGCGAGCTTCCGCGGACCTTCCATGAAACCTGCGCGAAGACTACTGGCAGGTTTTCTGATGCTGTGCTTCCGCGGGCTCTTCCGCGGACGTTTTCGTCTAAGGTGCTTCCGCGGCGCGTCCGCAACAGGGATTTCGAGTCTTCGGCGTTATCCGTCCGAAGCCTGAGCGTACATTGAGCGCGAACATGGTTTAATAGGGCGGGGTTGCAGCTGGCCTCCAAGGGTTGAAGCCAAAGCCGGTCACTCGGTAACTTATTCAAAGGGGGAGTTGGGCTGGTCATAGAGGGTTCAAACGAGAGGCGGTCACTTGGGAATTGGTACTGCGGTAAAGAAGGTGTGGCCCAAGTACTCCCAAACACATCCCGTAGCTTCCGCAAGGCTTCCGCGGGGCTTCCGCGGGGCTCTCGCGGGGCTTCCGCGGAGCTTCCGCGAAATCCCCGTCACGATGTTAGTTCCAGGGACCCGATCCCGGGAAAGTATCTCCGTGGTGGCTCCCTCATTGCCAAAACAGACAACAACTCTAGTGACGAAGTGCGTGGGATTTACCAGCTGCGGCGTCTACACCGCCCTGCCCAGAATTCGTTTAGGCTTTGCAAGTACTAGGGGATCTTCATTCAAGGGCTTAGGGTGTTGGGGCGAGGCACATTACGGCTGAGTTTCTTCTGAAGTCACTAACCTTCCATTTCTCGGGATTCAGCGGATTGAAAAAGGGGCTTCCGCAAGCGAAGTGCTTCCGCGAAAGGTTCCGCCATCTTCCGCGCGCAGTGGGCCCCACTTTTCGGAAGTTGTCGCCAGCCGGTTTCCGACGTTATTCCCGTATCTAATTAATTAACTTGCCTCTAGCGCCTATTTTTCAACTGCTCAAATGAAGCGGTCAGGCCATGCTCTGGACTCTGGGGCAAGAACTCGCTTGTGAGGGTCAATTCCGAAGGTACGAACTTTGGGATGCCCAAGCTCCAAGGCCTCAAACACAACGGAGAGACCAGGCAAGATGGTCTTGGAGCTCTACAGACAAATCCATCTGTGAGCGCAGCTGCCCGAGCTAGTGATCCCGCAAGCATGGCGCGCTCCTTGTCCATAGGTACGAGCCTCGAAGGCAGAACGGGTCAAGGGTCAAGCCCGCAACGCAGCATTATCCGAAAGCTAGCGTGATCATACTACGTCATGTTCTATGATGCGGATACGCAATCCCCGTTTGGGGGACCCACGTGATGCCACAAATCCGGGTCATCCGGACGGCCGCAACCAGTGCAGCCTTGAAGCCAAGGCCTCCTACAAAAGCCCTGACATGTGCAAAAGCTGTGTCGCAACCAAGCTTGTGGCAATGCAACAAACCACCATCTCAGCCAGAGACCACACCTTCCACAATCGACACCGGTCAAAAAACGAGCATCCCACGTGAACATCTGCGATTCAATCATCGATGTCTCCAGTAGCTGAGTGCTTGACGAGAGAGAAGCTGCCGGCAATTGTGTTGAAGGCTGACAGACACTCGGATGAACCCACTAATGCTGCAAGCTACAAAAGATGTAGAGGATCTCATGCAGTACCCACCAGCCTAGCCAGTCTTCTTCTTCGCTCACCATTGTTGCCGTCAAATCATTGAGTGCCTGCAAAAAAGCCGAGGGGATGAAATCCTCATGTCAGCCCCGTGCTCAGGGTGCCTGTGCGAAGAAAGCAGCGCCAACACCGGCAAGCACACCGGCTAAGACTGCTCCCTGTGCGCATAGAGTTTCACCAGACGCGAAGAAATCCAGTTGACAAGCCCCCGGCATGTGAACAGCGCCACAATGATCTCCTCTTCTCCTCTGTGAGCACATGCGCCTTGTTCTCCTTTCTCCATCCGAAAGCGACAGGAGAACGCTCATGATGGCTAGTTGCAAAGTGTCTGGTTTCTGTGAATGCTTCACGTTGCCTCACAACAATACCCGCAGCCACCTTCACATCCATTTCGCGCATCGAAGTAATTGCTTCCTTGGCTGCGAAGATGCCCAAACTCAGGAGCTTGCCTCACCCTCACAGACTTACCATAAACTCGCCCTCATCCTCACTTGCAAGAAAGAATCCACCATGGACAGGGTCTTGGCCCCCACCGGCTTGTTACTGTTAGAGGGAAAGCCAAGTCCACCCAGCCTCGATTCACGATATTGCTTGCACGTAAACCACCCTTGATCGGTGCAGCCGCAGCCCCGGGCATCGAAGACACCGCAGCTCCCATCACGCTGCCTCTTCGAGCAAACCTTTGCCTGTGAACTTCACCATAACATGGACGTAAATTGCTCAAGCTCTTGAGCTTGGCGCGCGACACTGGAGCGGACAGGGATGGCCTGCGCGGGGGGGAAGGCGCCACCTTGCCAGGCTTTCTCACTCGCAACAGTGGCATTAGTTTTAGTTAGTGTCATCAGCTGCCTCCTCAGGTCGCGGAAGGGTTGTGACAGGAAAAGTTGCTTCCGCTCCTTACAAACGCTTCAGACCCCAAGACACACACTTGAAGAACATCTCTGAACAGCAGCTGAGCACCGAACGCTGCGGAGCAGAAGCATTGCTTCCTGAACTTTTTTTCTCCTTCTGCCGCCTGCCGTTTAATGACACAGTCACCACAATTGGCCAGCCGTCGTCTGAAAATATCACGACAAAAGCACCCTGGCCTGGGCTTCGGATCATTTGCTGGAGGTGCTGCCGCTTCAGGCGGGAGGAGCACCTTAGGAGCCTGCTTAGGCGGCCGCACGACCGCCAATCGCACGTGGTCCTTATCATGTAAGTGTGACAGGAACATGCAAAGGCTCGCAACACCCAATCAAGTTCACCCAGGTCGGACTTGTTTCACAAGTAGTGATTAGCGACTAGTGGCTGTTATGCAACCGGAGCAAGACCGTGCCAAGACTCGGGATTCTTGGGTTCCTTGCGGATAACGATGGCTGGTTGACTTTTGCGGCAAAGAGTCGCCAGCTGGGCCTTCAAGCTAGCAGGCACAGCAGCAACAAAACGCGTGGGCCCATCAGCTTCAGCACATCCGACCACCAAGCCTTGCCGGGATTCTTTGGCTGCTTCCTGGTGACCACAATGACTTCTCGTGCCTGCACGCCAAATGCATACATGCCAGCATATGCAAGCAAACTGTATACAGTATACTGTATTAGACAGCATCCAGTACCTTGCGTGACTTCACGGCATATGGGGACTCTGCCCAAGGAGCATCCGGCAGCTCGATTGCTTGCTCTGTCGCATGAGATGACTCGCTGGTGGTAGCCGTCATGTCCGAGTCGGAATCACTGGTACTGGAGCTGCTCGGGCTCATGCTTTCCCTTTCGGATGTAAATTTGGCTAGGGGTTCGGAGGCTCGCGCCCTGAGGATGCTGTTACACATTTCATCCTCCTCCTCCGTTGGCGCTATGCGGCTTGGGGAGGACCTGCCGTACATCAAGGAGAGCAGCCAGTACAAGGTCTTCTCCATCGCCGGCAAAGACTTCACTGCTTCAGCTTCCTCCTCAGCGCTGACAATCCTGAGATATTTTCATAGAGGTAAAAGCAAACAAGATTCTCATTATATCTCATGATTCCACCCTTATTGTAGCCGTTTAAGAATGCAGGCTCTGAAGGAGGACAACCTCATGCTGTCCAGGCACCTGTCCTGTGCCAGGCTCGAGGGAAGGGCCACCAGAGCTTCCAGTGTGATTTGTGGAAAGAGCAGAGAGAACTGCACATGACTTACGCCACGAACGAACTCTTGCCACGTAATCTCTCCTGAATCATCAGCATCAAGAAAAGAGAAGACGTCAGCAGCGAACTTCTTCTCCATGTCTAGAGACTCCATCATTGCCACGACCTTGCAGAGGGCCCATTTGCGCAAGGACAATAGCACCAATCCACGTACACACAGCAGCGTATTTGTTCATGTCTCAAATCCTGTTCAAGCCATGTGAGCCTTTGCCTAAACATGCCTCAGCCCTTTGAACTTTTGGTCTCATTTTATGTCCGATTGCCGCGCCGTCGCAATCCGGACGTGCGCAGGAAAGAGCGCGGCTGCATTCTTCTACATTTAAACTGGAGAGCTATAGCCGAATGATTTCTAGTTGCGAAACGGAAGGGCCACGGTAGAAACCACATGCCTTGGAACTTGACCTCATGTCTGCGCATCACAAAGCACAGGACTACATTTAAAGCTTGGTGGCCGCGCACAAAAAAAATCATGATGATCATGCATAATATTCAAGGCCTCTAGAGGCAACTATGAAAGCGCATTGGTTGGTGATTGGACCCAGAAGTGACGCAGTGCTGTCGCCGATCCATCATGAAACGCAGACTTGCAATGCCTACTTCTGCGGGTGCTTCATGGCTCAGAGCCATTGCGAATGTTGCGGATGTCCCTTAAAAAGTCAAACAACACGCTACAGCTTGCCGATTGCAAAGTGCAAGTGCCATCGGCGGCAGATCAGAAATGCACGCACTGCAGCAAGCAAAATGGCCCTGCAAAGCCAAGCCGCCATGGCAAACGGACAAAATCAGTTGCCGCAAACACTACAGTTCTAGCTAGTTAACATTGGACGTTTTAGATAAATTCCCGCAAGGGGGGTTGCGGCAGCCGCCCATGCGCCTCGGCAAAACTAAGCTTGGAATTGCCATCGACATCAATCTTGCGGAAGGCCCGCTTGAAGAGCCAAACCTGCAGCAAGCAAAGAGCCTTTCGAGCAACCTGCCCTATCACAATGCCAGAAGGACCTGCGAAGTGACTGCTGATCATGGACTATTTGACTATTACCCTTCTCCGACAAAACTTTCCAGGAAATCGGTTCGCATTCGAGTAACTCGCCCGAGCATTGATTCAAGGTTGGTCTCAGTGACGCTCGTGTATGTCCTGCATGATGAGCAAATGCCAGATCACATAACCAGGCATGCTGCCCCTGCGCCGTGTGAGGTTTAGATACCTCTCTGCTGAGTGCAACTGGGGAGCAAGATGGCGTCTGTCACAGACTCATATGAGTTTGCCACTCGTCCGTCGAAAACAGCGTTCAGGACCCGTTTGGCATCCTCACCTCGCAAACCTCGCATCATCTCGCGTCAAAGCAGACTTCCCTCACAGGGCTCAGCCGGAAGATGTGCCAAGTGCAGTACCCATGGCTGCCAGAAGCGTTTCAACTTCGTCATGGCCCAAATCTCCGGACTGGTCCTGGTCAATCAAGTCCAGAGCCTTGCACCGAACAGACCCAGCTGAGCATGTGCTGACTGGCATAGATACGGAAAGATGCACTACTAATAGAGAAGCGAAGGGCGCCCGAGCCTCTGTTACGAGGATGCTTTTGCGGCGTTTGACGCCAGGCGTGTCTGCATTGACCGGAAACACCATCGCCCCATTGGCAGCTGCACACGAAAGGAAGCACAGCAAAAGACACGTGAAACCATGTCTGATCGTATCCTGGAATCCGCACTTTGGATTTACTGGGTGGGGTGAATCTGATCGGTGCTCAACCCACACCGACCATACCGACCTTAATTCTGTCTGCTTTGCAACTAGAAGCTCGCCCCATCATGGCATTCTATAGCCGACAAAGGTGCTCTGTCGGCAGCATCAAGATCAGCATCCAGGCAGGCAACTAAGAACACAGCGGGCTTCAACTTTCTGTGGCGCTCTGCCCTCACATGCGCGCCTTTTTCTAGCATGCCACGGCTTGCCTAAGGCTCCGCGCAACATTGCGTGTAGTCGGATGCATGCCAGAGCAAATGGGAAGGGATTAGCAAGTCCGCACGGCTCGTCCTTTCAAACGAACCCCGCCCTGTTTCGAGCCTCACAAAAGATGGAGACTGTTTACGAGTGCAACCAAACACGATCCAACAGAACGAAGGACTTGCCTGGACTAACACATTCCAGCTACACTTTCGTGCACCAGAACGTACTTGGCCTAGATCAAACTACTTTTAACAGGCATCAGGGAGAAGCTTTCCAGATTCTCTGGACATCCTCGGCCGGGGCGCAGTGGCACGGAGGACAAGTCTCTGAACTTGCAAATGCTCTGACTAAACTCAACCATGCAGAATCAAGCTCTTGTTTGGAACCACCCAGCTGGTAGAATTGGAGTTGCAAGACAAGTCGCAGCGCTTCTCATAACCCAACACAGTGCTCCCAAGCCAGCGTTCGGTCCCCTGCGCCGGGGCTGCAGTGCATGTGAGGCTGAATGAAACCGAACTCGTCCGCACGGGCATTAAGGGGCATGGCACCTCGACGCCCGTCTCGCCGCGGCGCTCGGCGTAGGACCTTGCGGGCTGGTGGTCGGAAATCCAGCAAGGCCATGACAAGCGCTTCAACGTGCTTAAGCTCCCCGCTGCACTTGATCAACGTTCACCTGGCCCACGGAGAAGTACCTAGCCTGCGACAGTATGGGAGCCATGAGAGGCGACCAGGTGGTGACTTTCGTTTTGCGCCCTCCGCGCCTCTGGATGGGCAAAGACCAGAGCTGATACAGAAGCACTTGGCCTGCCCCAGCCATGGCAGCTCTGCAATTCTCTGCACGCTGAAGAAGACAAATGCAGCTGTGATCTAGGCGCTGAGTCTGAGGTCGCGGGCATCA